GCAATCAAAAAATATTATACGCATAAAATGAATATAGCGGATATGATGATGTCGAGATGTATGAGTGGCAAGACAATAAGAGATAGAATTCAAAATGAGTACATTTGAAAAAAATTAGGTGTGGTATCAATAGGCGATAAGATAAGAGAGAGTAGACTTAAGTGGGATAACCATGTATGGTGCAGATCCAGTATAACACCTGTTAGTAGATGTGGATTCGTTCAAGTGGAAGGCTAAAAAATGACAAGGGATAGGCCCAAAAAGGATATGGTCGGAAGTCGTGAGAAATGATATGGAGACTTATTGCTTTGTTAAGAGTATGACCCTTAATAGAGCAAAATGGTGGACGAGGATTTGTATAGCAAATCCAATTCGTTAAAAAAAAGCTTCGACGTTAATGAACTTTTTTTTTATAAACTTTGTCCTTTTATAATTGAGGTATTTGAGTTTTCTTTGTTTTGCATATGTACCTCTTTTCTTGTTGCATTTATTATGTTTTTGTGAATTTATTGAAGGCTCTATTTTGCCAATTTTGATCTTTCCTTTCTACTGTACTTTGTATTTGTGACAAATTTTAATAAAAGTCTATTCATACAACTTGCTTAACTTCCTTGTCGAATAAAAATGCCTTTGCTTTTTTAGGTTTAGCTTTAACATACACATTGAATAAAGGTCGAGTTCACATACATTTTTTATTCAATTTTGGGAGTAGTTAATTCAAGGGTGCTTTTACCACGCTAATATTTTTTACTCTATTGGTCAAATAACCCACTCCAGATTTTTGTTGGTATAAAATTTTGGGATGCATTTTAGAATTATATAATGATAAGATTTTGAGTATCTAAATGCATGTAACTGACGATGATGGCCTGGTCAGTCAATATTTTGAGAAGAACAGGTTGAGTATTTGGTTGGCTTTCAAATCAGCGAGGGGTCTGATCAGCCAAAATTAATTTGACTATTGATCGCTAGTTGAATTGGTTAACAGATTTCAATAACATAAATAAAAGTAAATCTAGTGTCACATTTTTATGCAGTAAAACCAATGAAAGGAAATCACACTCATAACAATTATATATGAAATCAAGCTACTGAGAGTCTACCTTTAATGTGTTGTTTTTGTACCAAAAGTAGCATAAAT